CGCAGAGAGCGAGTGTGCGCATAGCGTGACCGCGCTTTCATAAACTCAGCAGTGGACACAGCCAGTTTACGGTGTTAGAACATAATGAGAACTGAAATAAATCAGACTCACAAGCCTGAATATCACGAGGTCTCTCATACATGAGAAACCCAAAGTACAAATAAAAGAGCAAAATACAAGACAGATAATAGGAAACAGAGTGTTATGGTTAAAACATTGTGTCGACTTGGGGAGTCTAGAGGTTTGGCTAAGTGACTCAGCAGGAAGCCAGGGTGCTTACTTTGTATACATCCTGAGCCTGTGGAAGAGGAGGGCATGGAGATTATGTGAGAGCTACACGCCCCTTAGGTCGGGGTAGCCTGTTTACAATGTAAGGCAGGGAAAGAGTCTGCTTGCCGCCATTCCTCCGGTTTGCTCTGGCTGTTTGCTGTTTGGCTGCCGTTCCCCCCTTTTCTCTTGTTGGTTTGCTACCTTCTGCCTCGGAGCCAGCCAAGTATGGACTAAAACCTCCACAAACTATAAGCTAAATAAACCTTTCCCTCCTTCATTTTGGGCCTTGGGTATTTTGTCTCAACAACAACAAAAAAATAACCAAGACAGAGGGAAGATCTTCTACAAAAGAAAAGGTGATAAGAGCAGGGGGCAGAGGGAGAAGCAACGGACAAACAAGGAAGCTGCGTGGTGCACAGCACCCGCATGCTGAACGCAATCACTGTGTGCTATAAACAGCGACTAATCCCCTTTTTTTAATTTCAAAGAAAAAAAGAGTCAGGACACTGGCTCTCCTCCCAGGGGCATGGAAACAGTGACCAGGGGAGCCGTGGGGAGAGCAGTTGAGGTTGTTTTATTTGCTTCTCTGGCTCCTGGTTACAGAAACATTTTATTTATAAGACTTCAGGTAACTGTACTATTTGATTTGTGTTCTTTGGCATGTGGAAAAACAGTTGTAATTCAGTGATTTCTTTGGACAAGCATATTTTACTACTCTCTTCAATAACCAGAAAATACTACATAAGACCCCGTCCATGGCACCTTCCACTTCCGTGTAACAAATGACCACAAACTTAGCAGCTGACAACAGCACACATTTTCCATGTCCCCTCTGCTATGGGTCAGGAGTCTGGACAAGGCTCCCAGGGGTCCTCTGCCAGGGTCTCACCCACTGAGCCTTCTTCCAAATGCACTGCGATATCCTCAGCTCTCGCCAGCACCTCAGTTTCCCACTCATGGCCCTTTCCACAGGCAGCTCCCAGCACCGCCTCTTGATTCTCCAGGGCCAGCCTGAGGGACTGTCCTTCCAGCATCCCTAGACCACATACCCTCAACACAGACGAATCAAAGGAACTGGCCACTTTCCCATATAGGTTATGAGTTCTCACTCTCAACAAGGGAAGAGATGATTCCTGCACCACACAAAATACCCATGACTGCTAAGTAACAACCACAACAAACAAAACCTGCTCATACCATTCTTTACATAGAATTTCTCCAAACCCAGGGAATTTCACTTTGCACATTTGTAAGATCAGTTCATCTCTTGTAAAGCTCCAGGAAACCCTTTAGAAAATTTCGTTCTAGAGGAGTGTGTATCAAATGATGACTACTTTTTGGGATGAGAAATGTTAAAATCAGCATGCCCCTGCAGTGTTAATCAGAGACTTTCGAGTTGTTAAATTAACATAAATTATGAGAAAGTATGCTCCCTGGTCTTTTTGATCCTCAACTTCAGGGATATCGTAAGTTGTTCCTGAGCTATGTTTATTCTATACGATGAGGTATGCTTAATTGTTCTGCATGTATTATCACAGACTGTAAAATATACCAGTGAGACAACTAACTAAATAGTTCACAGTTTCTATTGTTTTAGAAAAATAATGCACAATAAATTATTTTTCAGTGTCTGATCAGTTAACCGAATCATGTAATCAGTCCAGTCTCAACTGCTAAATCCATTCAAGTGAATTACATCCAAACTTCAGTTAATTTTATCTTTTTTTTTTTTTTTTGTCTTTTCTTCCGATACCAGGAATCGAACTCACGACCTGGCGCTTGCCAGGCAAGCGCTTTGCCACTGAGCTAAATCCCCAGCCCCTAAACTTGAGTTAATTTTAAAGCAACATTTGCCTTCTTAACTCAACTACTAAAACATAAAGCTGTCATTGAACACATCAATATTTCCTGGAAACACAGACCTCAGGACTAGAAAGAGAAAGGTAACAGTATGTGGCAAAACGTAAGCAAGGGAAAAGAAGTTGATCTATTGAACTCAATTGAAAATGTGCAAATTGCAGATTGCCCTTCTCTTTCTTTTATATTCCACCTTCTCCCTTACCTGCTCGTTACCTTCTAGATATACTGCTTAGTGCCGTATCTTTGGATATCAGTCTATATATACTAAATACTTAAAAAATTATTTTTGACCAGATGAAAATATGAATGAATAAATGCATTTGATTCTTGATATTTTTTCCGCTGTATTATCCTGCCAACTTTCAATTTTTTTGTTGCTTGCATTAGGCTAGTCAAAAGTCTGAAGAATAATTATGAAAACTGAGAAGAATCACCTAGTCACCATCAATTTCACTAAGAGGAAGAATTAAGGTGTTGATGTAGACAGAAAGAATTGCTGGTTCAGTTTGCAGGAGAAGTAAGCCCTTCTGAATAAAGAGTAAAACCCCCAAACCATCAGAGAGAGGCAAAACACGGGTGGGTGGAGATTTGAAAGATCTCCGCTTTTACAGCACTCTCACTTGCTCTTGCTAATGCCGCCTAGCAGGTGTGCACACCTTGGTTTCAAGTCTGATACTTCACCGGAGCAGCTGGCATTTCTGCTCCTGAGCTCTCCTCAGGAGTCACACAGGAGTGTGAAGACCTGTGGTCACCAGGACAACTCAAGGCGGAGTTCCCACCATTTAACTGATGTGTGCTAATTAGAAGGACTTGCCATAGATGGGTTAGCTTGGAAAACTCCTTTGTCTACTTTTTTTTTAAAAAAATAAAAGGAGGAAAACATTAACAGACAGATAACCTCTTACAAAATAGCAAAAGAACAGTACAGACAATACAGAGTTACAAAGTGGTAGGAAATTAACAATGCTTCTTGTATTACATATTGATATCTTCAAAGTGGTTTCTCATGAGAACACATAGAGACATGCAATATTGATCAGTCAAGGACTCATTGACCTTTTCAGGAAAGAAATAGAAGACAGTAGAACAACTATGTTAGCTATCCTGTATATACATACATACAAAATTAAATTCTTATGAATGTAATAATTTATAAGACAAAAAAAGAAAGAAAATCTCTCAAAAATCTACCTGGACAATGTTTTTTGATTATGAGAGCTTCTTTTCTCAAAGACCTTGATTAATACAAAATACCATTACTGTGATGTTTGATATTTTCACTTTCATTCTGAGGACATCCTGAGGGAGTTAGGTGCGAGAGGCTTTAATAGATTTATTTTCACAAAGGCTTAACATTTTTTTTTCTACCAGCGCCCTCACTAGGTTACCATTTGCTGACATATTTCATTTTCCTCCAAGCCCCTGACCTGCCAGCATGTTCAGTCACTGAGTGAAACAAAGACCCTCTGCTCCCTGGAGGTCCTGTGGACTGGCTGTGCTGTGAGCAGAAGTCAGCAGTAGAGGGGCCAGCTGGAGAGTCACCATGGAGGTCCTCTCCGCAGGAAGGGTCACCAGGGAAGGACCATGTTCACATAGAGTGGTGATGACCTGGGGTCAGCCCCAGAGAAGGGTGCAGGCGGGCATCTCTGCCTGGACGGAGGGTCCACGGTTTTAAAGCTGTGATCAGCCCAGAGGCCCGCTCCAGGCTGCAGAATCACAGTGGCCTTTAGCGAACGGCTTCCGCTGTTGACTTTTATTTTCATTCATAAGCAATTTTAAGAAAAAAGAACTTTGACAAGGTGATGGTTTTTCCTTAGATCATCAAGCATTCATTCAAGCAGTGGTCATTGAACACATGCTGGGTAAAAGGAACTGAGAAAAATATGAAGCAGCTCTTGCTGCAATTTCCAAAGAGCTTTAAGGAAAACGAAATAATCAGGATCAGAAGCAAAAACATAGGACACATAAAAATTATGAACTAATGTAAATTAAATAAGATATTAAGGAGCAGGGAATTAGGAACCTTAGGTGTCAGTACCGTATTTTTTTTAAGGGAAAAATGAGAGAAAAGTGTCTTAATAAAAAAGCATTATAATGACGATGAAGCAATGATTCTCAAAGTGTGGAACCGTGTGTTTTCATAAGCCCCAACTTGGTTCCACTGAACACTGAAGTTTGAGACCTGCTCATGGCCCTGTCCTTTGGAATAAATAGCTGTTTCTACCAAGAAGACCTCCATTCCCAAACACCTTGAGGCTGTAACATATTACACTCACTACTTTGGACAAACCATTTTGAATAATCAGTCATTTTTCAATAAATTTGAGATCAATAACTAGTAAGGGGTGTGGGATGCTGTTGAATTGATTTTTCTGGTCTCATGAAGAAAATAAGTATTTCTTTAAGGTGACATATCTCTGCCTTTCTGTTCTGTCTTTTGCTGTGGTACTTATCTACAACTTACATAAATGTTGCTTATCTGACAACACAGAGAAGCAAAAGTTACACAAATGCATTCTATGTAAATTATCCTTGAAGGAGAAAAACTGAAATTGAAGCATGAATGTCCATTTCCTAGTCTTTTTAATTATTCTAATATGTATAATTCAATAGCTTCCAATTTTGAAAAATTTTAGGAAAATATTATACATAAAAAAGTGTCCCTCCCTGTCTAACCTCACTTTTACTTCAAAGTACATTAATATCCATAAAGCTTTAAAAGATAAGGTATTTTAGTTATAAAACATTTATGCTCTAAACTATTTAATAAGCTATTTCAATATGAATAGAATATTAATGACATAAATAGATGAGCTAGTTCCACAAATGAATGCAATGTGATAGTTTAGAATAATTTTGTTAAATCTCAGTTTCAGAGACTTTTTATGACTGAGGGAAATATTTAATTGAGGTGATGTGATACAAGAACAAGCATGAAGAAACACACACTGGGGCTTTGTCAGCTTAGCAGTGCTCGCTCGAGGCTTGTGTGTAAGTCTGATGTGTTGTTCCCTGAAATATCAAACGGTTTGTGAGAAACAGGCTTCCCTGTCCTAGTTTCAAAGAGAAAGAGACCGCTATAAAATTGTGACTATCAGGTGTGGTGCCATTTTGAAACAAAACTGTACTTTTATTATCTGGTTTTTGTCACGCAGTAAAGATGCGCACATTTTTCTAAAACGTCTGATTACAAACTTGTCTTCGAAGTTACGCTTTCACTACCCTTCACAGATTAAAGGGACGCTGAGCCTGACACAAACACTCAGACTCTGAAACTGTGCATTACAGTTTAATGAAAAGGAACAATTAAATTTTCAACTTCATCTACAAACTGGCAGAGAGTTAATGTCCAAGGGTGTGTATTTATTCTTGGAAACATTAGAAACTTAAAAAAAAAATTTAAATTATGAACTATCAACAACAGAAAGAACAGGAGAAAAAATCAAGTTATATCTGGGGTAAGGACAAAGTGGCTTTTTCTTCTAATTTCCTAAATGTGTCAACATTTTAGAGTCAAACTTATATACATTAATCATGTTGAATAAAGTGAGTGTGTAGTCATTCTAATATGAATTTCTCAGTTATAGTGTATTTTTCTACTGCAGTACATGAATATGTTCCCTGCATAGTTTTTAATAAGCACAAGGAGAAATTAAAAATTTCATACCATATATAATAACATTATGCTATCATTTCTCTAAGGGAATTTTTCTAAATTGTATAAATACTCCAGAGCCAACCTTAACTTAACTCAGCAAGTTAATCTTAAGTGTCAGCTTGACTGGATTAATCCACTGATGTTCTCAATGTGCTGACACAAGGGGGACCAGTGGAGTAGGTGCTCACTGGGGCAGCACGCGTTTCGCGGTGGTCTGTCCCTAGCACTCTTTTCCTGTGTTCTGCTTCCCAGGGGTCAGGAATTGAGAGTTTTCCTTTGCCATACCCTGCCCCCATGCTGCTTCTGCTTGGAGCCAACCAACCAGGGACTGAAACCCCAGAACTGTCACCCAGAATGAACCTCTCCACCTTTAAGTTGTGTGTTTCAAGTATTTTACTCCAGCAGTAAGAAAGCTGACTGATTCACTTCTATACAGAGGTCCATATTCTAGAAGAAATTAGTGAATACCTAGGTTAGGGTTGTGTATAAGAAAATAACATGGCGTATTTAAATGTTTTAAAATTTGACACTCACATTTGTATGTACGCATTTATGTATGTATTTTCAGTTTATTCATTTATTTTTGCAATGCTAGGGTTGGCACCCAGGACCACTTTTTCACCTGCTAGGACTCTGCCACTGAGCTACATCACCAGCCTTTCTTTTATTTTAAAAGTATGTGTATAATCTGTCTTTGGGTCATTTGGTAGGGGAAGATGTTGTTATTTTGAGATTAAAGTTTACTCTCTGCATAAAAGTCCCGTAACCTCCATTTAATTACTACGGTATTAGAGGCAAGAGATACAAGAAACTTCTGTGATTTTCATATTGTTTCTTCTTTTCTCTCTACCACCAGTGAACTAAGAGAATCTCAGCTGAAGGAGCGACCTCGGTTTAATAAACAGTAAGAAGACCACATAACCAGAGGATTAATCCCCAGAGGGCAATCATATTTTTAGGAAGCACATAGGAAAAAGAATCGTTTAAAAAGCCACTGGAGCATATATTTTTAAATCTAAAATTTTAATCTGTATAATACAATAGTTATTATTTTGGTTATAAACATATTCTATCTTTGACAGTCAAACTTTAATAAAAGACATACTCAGATTTTTTAAAATACTATTTCATCATGCTTTAGGAGGAAACAATGAAGAATAAAAATTTTAAAATAATGAATAAGCAGTACATCAGTTTTAATTGCTGGCTTATTTCCTTTATCTTGGGATTCATTTTCCATCAAATTAACCATAGTAGCTGCCTTCCCACCTCTACAGTGACCAATTTATTAATGTCAAATGTGTACTTTTTTTATTACTTTTGCTATACCAATTTAAGGTCAAAATTGGATTTTTGTCACTCACGTCAATTTTATAATTTTAATTCTCTACTTTGAATATTTTATATCCATAGTGTGTCCAAGAATATCTACTTCCTTCTGCCACTCTGCTGTAAAACTTTAATTACTCTTCTTAAGTTAGAAATGCACATGCAAAACATTCACAGGTCTGTTACTGCCTTTGAACACTCTCCCTGTGTAATAATCTCTGTACTCAGGGCTGGCCAGGAAATCTGTGGTGAACCAGTTCCACTAACAACCCTGACTTTTGACCACGTCTCTGCGTCTAAAGGGGACGGCTGTGTTAATGATCTTCCCCCTGACTCTGAGCCTGGTCTTTGCTTTGGGAACAGGTGTGCGACAAACAGTGCAAGGGAAGCTTGGAAGAGTGTTCCTCCATGTCTGCCTTCTCTTGCACACCCATGCCACAGGGAGTGTGTGCTGGGCTCACCAGCCAGCGGGCTGTGAGACACATGGGGCTAAGTGTGAATGGATCCAGGTCCAAGCCTCCGAGGTCAGCTTCCCCAGCCAACCCTGAGGGCCATGGTAGAAGGCGGCTCCAATGAGCCCAGACCAGTGTGCCAGTCAACCCGTGGACCTTTAAGAAGTAACAACTTGGTACTGTTATATGGTGCTAAATTTGGTATCAAGAAGACAAGCAGAGCCATTTTATGGAAAGAAAATTCGTACAGCGGCTACTACTGTTTTAAAGACAGCAAAACAAATTTGAAGGTGAGTGCCACCATTCACCTTTAGACAGGAGACCATGTGAGAACCGACTAGTTTAAGTTATGAAGAAAACAATAACAGCATTAGTATAACAGATTCTAAATTCGTGCAGTGCTGTGTGAGGAGAGCACATAAAAATCATTCTGAATAAAGATAAAAAGGGAGCTGGGGTGTTGGCGTGTGCCCGTAATCCCAGCACTCGGAGGCTGAGGCAGGAGGATCGCCAGGTGTTTGAGGTTACCCCAGGGTACGATAATGAGTTCAAGGCCAGTCTGGACTACACAGCAGGACCTTGTCTCTAAATAAATAAATGGAAATCCAAATTCAATTAGCAAGCCAAATTTAACCTAGTTAATATCTATTTGAGTAATTACCAAAAAATAACCTATAAAATGGCATTTGCATATTTATGCAGTCAACTAATGTTAATTGTGAATAACTGGATGAATGTCTTATTTTCACTTCTAATTTTTGTTCTTTAATTTTTCTTCTTATATTGTGATTCATTGAGACAGTAATTTATCTTTTCTTTGTTTACTCAAAAATCTTGCTTGGGTATTAACTATTTCTTATGCTATTCTGTACTCCTATTCATTGACTTGTGATTTTTATGTTTATATTTCTTCTCTTTTTATTTGTCTTTGGCTTATGTTTTGTTTGTTTGTTCAGAACACCATGCTTAGTTCATAGAAAAGTCTTTCTTTTTTGGTGTGTGAGTGCCCAGGGTATGACTCTCAAAGCTTGATTTTAGGACAGTTCCTGAGATTTGAGTCTGTGTGAGTTGTCCTTATTTCTATCCTCTAAATAATCACCTATAATGCTTTAATTTTCCTTTAGCTAAAAGACTATTTGAATGAAAACAATTGTTTTCCTTTATAAATTTTCATATGGAAAAGAGTGGGTTTTCTGGTTTTATGTTATTGGTTTTTGAGTTCAGAAAATAGGATTTATAGCACTTCTTCATTTTGGAAATTATGAAAGGTTTTTGTTGTTCTTCACGCACGGTCAACCGTGACTCTCATCCCCAATGCTTCTGTGAGCCTCTGTCCACCCGTCTGTCTGTCTCAGTCTGTCCTTCTTGCCCTTGCATCCTCTCTCTGCCATCACAGAATTCATGACATATTGTTTGAACTTATCTACTTTATTAGGTTACTTAGCCTTCTATGCGTTTACTCAGTCTGGCGTTTTTACTCCAATTGTTTCTCTTATGAATATACATCGTTGTTCTTATACCGTCTGAGGCTGCTCTGCTACTACAGGAGTGTTAATCTTAGTTCCTCCTCTTCCTTCCAGGGTTATGTTCCCTCGCTGTCTTTGGCTTCTTTAGATGCTGGAATGTGTGGTCGTGTTTGCAGAGTATTTGTTTTATTTTTCCATTTACATTTTTTTCTGGTAATACGGATAGCATGATCTGTTCTTCTAGTGCTTAACATCACACATAAGCAGTATATTTTCCCCTCAGAAATCCACTTCGTTTCCAATTTTGTTCATCAAGTTATTCTTCCCGTGTTGTCAAGATCTAGAATGTTTACACTGTCTGATGTAACCGTAAATTCTACAGTCGTTATTTATTGAGATCATTTAATTCTTACTACCAGTCTCTTTCTACACTGTTTTTCAATTATTTCCTAGTAAGTTTGATTTCTTTGGTTGGATTTTGTTTTTATAAAAAGAATTTGTGTTGCTATAGTTTCTAAATTTTTACATGTCTGGAAATGTTTGCTTGCTGTTTTAGCTCTGAACAAAAATTTCATTGAATGAACAATTCCTAGAGCATGCTTTCCTTTCCTAGGAGGTTGAAGATAATGTTCTGCATTTTTCTCTGACAATGCTCAGATAGATAGATAGATAGATAGATAGATAGATAGATTATTAAATAAATAACTTTCAGTCCTAAGTAGGAGACAAGAAGCAATTCAGGCCCTTAGTGTCACTAACAAGCAAAGATCCCAGGTGTGGTGGTGCACACCTGCAATCCTAGCACATGGAGACTGAGGCAGAAGGATCACAAGTTCAAGCTCATCCTGGGCAACTTCATGGTTTAGGAAGACTGTGTCCCAAAAAAAAATTTCAAAGGCTGGGGATGCAGATCAGTGCAAAGTCCCTGCATTCGATCCCCAGTACTGCCAAGGAGAGGAAGAGGAAGAGAAGGGCAAAGAGAAGAGGGAAGAATATTTTATGTTATTTATTTATTTAATATTATATATTTTTTATTACCACATGCTACTGGGGTTCAGCGTGGTTCTTACATCTTGCATGTGGTGGGCACTGTCCCTGCCCTCCGACCTGCACCCTTCCTAGCCTCTGGCATCATTATTCTACTTGCAGCGAACTGTTTTTCACTTCCACAAGTGACAGAGAGCATGCGGTGAGCATCTTTCTGTGTCTGGATTATTTCACTTAACTAACGACTTCACTTACACCCACTTGATTGCGAAGGACGGGGTCATCCTTTATGCCTCAGTAATACTCCCCTGGGTACATATAGCACATTTTCTTTATGCAGTCATCTGGGATGGGCGCTTAGGGTGATTCCATGTCTTAATTACTGCCAACAATGCTGCAGTAACTATTCACATGCAGGCACCTCCTGGGCATGCCGATTTCATTTCCTTTAGCTGTATATCTAAAAGTAGAATAGCTGCATCTTATGGTAGATCTATGTTCAGTGACTGGATAATACTTTTAATTTGACATATTTGGTTTTCCAAAAACTTGGACCTACCAATATACACATTTAATCTAACACACGTTTCCCTCTCTGAACCCAAGACATCATACAGGGCACTTCAGAGGGCACAATACACGCACACGGGCTGTGTCCAGGTTGCAGCTGGCAAGGCAGTAAGTGAGAGGGTGGCGTGTCTGGGAGCTTGCTTCCTCATCTTGATGATTCTCCACGCATTGCTAGCACTTGGTTTCATCACCCACTCCCCTAACTCGTTGACTTCCTCCAGGGAACAGAATACATGGAACTGGGGTTGGAGTTTTTAATTTCTTTTAAAGAACTGCCATTTTTCCCTACTCACACTAGTATCACCAGCCATGCCCTACAGAACCATAATGGAATGATCACTTTTAATCTATTCCACTGTAGCTAAAGCAAGCGTGAAAATGATAAATTATGGTAGCATATTCTGCTACTCAAACAGCACTGCTCTTCCACAGCTACTAGGAAAGAACGTCTGAGTACAGTAGGGATTTAAAGCACAGCATTTCTCTAATACCTTTTTCCACCTGAGGCTAGATCCGTTTGAGAGCCCTATATTCTAAAACAAAGGACTGAAAAATAGGGATTCAGTAAATTGTGCTTCAACTCACTTTAATGTAGGAAGAGGATAAATACCTTAGAACTCTTTTCACAAAGTTTTACTTCCCTAAGAATCTCACTTACTATTCCAAGGGTCATGAATAGTCAATTCTTATTTGCTAGGGTCTGGGAGCAGTTTTTCTCCAATAGAAAAATGATGCACAGCATAGAAAAAGAGTTAATGAAACCAGCTTTGATTCTCAACATGAAGGACAGAGAAAGCGCATTTCATGAACTGAAAAGAATTTTCATACAGCCCCTAGAATCACTTCTGAAGAAACATCTCCTCTCAAAGTTAGTTTGAAAATGAGACAAAGGGATTTCTCCAAACGTGCAAATAGTCACACCATTACCTGAAGGAGCTATTTTCCCGGAACAAAATTGTTAAGATCTCAGTCATTTTCTGTGTGAAATCTCTGTCGACTTTTTCGGATTAGTTTTATAGCCCACAACAAGGCTTTCAGCAAGTACGATTTGAAAAAGAAGTGGAAAGTTTTACAAATGAAACAGCAGAAGTTCTTTCTGTTAAAACCGTGCAGAACGGAAAAGCTCAGGGGAAAGAATAAAAGACACAATTGCTGGAAAATGTGAATGGTAACAAATCAGTTTCGGAGTATTCAAACTATAGATTTTCTCTTTTGACACTGACGCTAAATTAACAAAACACTTCCTAACAAAACAGGTCTCATGGAAACTGCAGAAAAATATTGTTCAAATTGCCTTAAAGAATAGCAGTCAGAAGAGAAGTAACTGAAGCAAAGTGA